ATTACAAAAGATTGTTCATGTTCCCCTATTAAGTGTGGCGCATACCCACTTCAGCCATGATTCCTCATCGTCGTCAGCCACTGCATGAACAATTGGCACAAAATTCCTTGCAAGTGTTTAGCGGATACCAGGCTTCTCGGAAGAAATACGACAAATAGCATAGCGAATGCTGGCCTACTACCCAAAAAAGTTTGTTATTAATGCTTTAGTGGGTATCAAGCAAATGCGCTTGCAGTAGTTACCTAATGAGTGTTCTGAAAGGCTCTGAAAGGCCGCTCTTCTAGCTTTCTCTGACTGGGCTGCGCCTTCCGTGCAGGCCTGACGTTTTTTTTTTTTTTTTTATCATGGTCTAAGTTAACGATGACACCCGACCTGCAAGTTACAATTATATAACTTCATTGGCTTACAAGTGCCGACACCGCAATGTCATTATGAAGGTTTCTGATGGGAAATTCAAGGTGTATTTTTCAATGTACACAAATATATCAATCGACGGCGTAACGCTTGGCTGTAAGCGAAAAAGGCTGCTCCTAAATATAGGCCACTCGCGGACTGTAACGTCACATAAAATCGATTCCACAATGCGAGGAGTCTGCCAACTTTGTTTTCTTTTCTTTAGCGTACTTTACTTACTTTGTGAAAACATGCACCAGACCGCAGAAAGTACAGGCCAATGCTGTCAAAGCAAGCTTCGATTATACCAGGAAATTAAATTCAATGTGGATAAAATAATTATCAGGTGGTAGAGGATAGCAATACCAGTACACCTTGTGCCAAGCTAGGAATTGCGAATTCCCCTTTCCCCCACCAAATGATCTTTTCTTTACGAGTATTTGAGTTGCTCTTCGGCCACAGAACAGGTAGTGGAAACCCTTACTGATCGATCAAAAATGCGCACAATCCTTTATCGGCCATTTTGTGAATAGGCTGGTGAAGGGTACCCATCTGCAGACAATCAATACATTGCCCCCCCCCCCCTTTTTTTTTTTATGGGCTCGCAAGTCTGTGCGAAAGCATTCGCCCACTGCTCTCGTTAAGATTGCTTTGTACTCCTAGCAGCATTTATGTGTTCTGAAATCCAGTCGACTACTGTGCGGTTCAAGGCTTTTTTTTTTCTTTAGCTATTCATCAACACACCGTAATCTGCGCATACAAATCAGTCTGGGGGACCATTTCCACTGCATTACTGGTCACTCACATACCAGCCCATCACACAAATTTGAATGTCTAGCCCCCCCCCCCCCCCCTTTTTTTTTCCCGTCCTGTCCGCTTATGAGTCCCGGTATTACGCTGCCGCTTCTCATTTTTTGCTCCCCAGTTCAATTGATCAGTTCCCCGAATGACAGGTTCCTCGCTCGCTATACGTCTGGGCACGGCCGGACTCGACTACCTGTCCTAGCGGAGCACCGAAGTAGTCGAGTCCGGCCATGGATTCAACCTATACCCAATTGCTCGATCCACACGTTAGAAACTGGAAATACACTGGAAGGAACGTGCATGCACGAGTGCACCACGACGTTCGTGCGTCGTCTACCATGGGGGGGGGGGGGGTGTAAGTCGTGGCGGCATCTGGTGGTATCTCTGGTCCCTACGCGCCAATTTTTAGACACAAACGCCTCCGTAGGGGTTGCGCTGATGAGCAGGTCGTAAGTTTATAGAAGTCGTGTTGCGAACTTTATCGTTTAATGAAAAAAAAACGCATAAGTATAGTTTTTGTTCACTAAGTATCACGGTTAAGTGGCGCTAGCCGCCGCTCAATCAAAAGGGTACTGCCACGGAAGAAGTTTTTTTCTTCCTCCATGGGTACAGCCACATCAATCCATTCATCATACTCGGCACAAGGTCCATTCGATTCGCCACCACCGCATAGATCAGTTCACGAGGTGCTGCACCTTGCCATTCGTTTCAGTGATGCAGCATCGACGACCTCTGAACCCCGCCATTCGTTTCAAAAGATGAAGAAGAGGTGCAGCAGTGGTGCGCAATTTTCCTGCACTCCCTACGCTTACGGTAGGTCCGTTCGATTCACCTGCACCACGTGAGCCAGTTCACAAGGTGCTGCACTTTACCATTCGTTGCCTTGCCATGCACACAGAGGACGCAAATTCATGAAGGAAGGAAAAAGCCGGCACCGTCAGCGTAGGAGGTGCAGGAAAATTGTGAACCAGTGCTGCACATTTTTTGCACCTTTAAAAACGAATGGCAGAGTTCGGAGGTTGTGAATGCTGCACTATTTATATGAATGGTAAGATGCATGACGATAGTTATAGCGCGAGAAGAAAACGACGACACAGAGACAAGGACACGAAAGACACGAGCGCTTGCGTGTCCTTCTTGTCTCTGTGTCGTCGTTTTGTTCTCGCGCTATAGCTATCGTCATGCCATACCAACTAGCCCAAGCTGCCACACTTCTAAGGTAAAGTGCAGCGTCTTGTGAACAGATTGACGTGATTTAGGTGAATCGAACGGACCTGGTGTTCACTTGGTGCAGTCAAATGGTAGTGTATAAGTGTTCTGTGGTGCAGTCGCGCGTGCAGCTGAGAAGATGGCGCAGCACTTAGGCGTAGGCGCCGAACCCGCCTCTACTAACGCGGTGTTTTGCTAAGATGTTTGCGCCCCATAAACTGACCGCATGTGCGATTTGCCGTCGGCCAGTGTTTGCTGAATGGTCTGAATTAAGCAAACAGTAATAAGGCCTGCACCTTGTCGGCATCGTCATTCGTTGTGGGTGTCGTGCTGTGCCTGCGCACCGCTGAGCTCACGCTGCACAATTTCTGAACTTCGCGGGCACATCCGTGAACCGGTTCTGACTGGTGCAGGTGCATCGAACTGACCTGGTGCCGGCTTGGTGCAGCCGCGAGTGCAGCAGATCAGACGACGCAGTGCTTAGGCGTAGGTGCCGTACCCACCTCTACTAACGCGGTGTTTCGCCAAGGTGTTCGCTGCCTCATGAACTGTCCGTATGTGTGGTTTACCATCAGTAAGTGTTAGGTGGGCGGTGTAAATTAAGAGAAAAAAATAAGGCCTGTACCTTGTCCGCACATCGTCATTCGTTTCAGTTGTCGCGCTGTTCCCGCATCGCTGAACTCGTGCTCCACAATTTCTGAACTTCATAGTGCCTAGAATATCATCATCGTCATCATCAGCCTGACTACGTCCACTGCAGGACAAAGGCTTCTCCCATGTTCCGCCAGTTAAGTCGCTCCTGTGCTTGCTGCTGCCAATTTATACCCGCAAACTTCTTAATCTCATCTTCCCACCTATTAACCTTCTGTCTCCCCCTAACCCGCTTGCCTTCTCTGGGAATCCAGTTAGTTACCCTTAATGGCCAGCGGTTATCCTGTCTACGCGCTACATGCCCGGCCCATGTCCACTTCCTCTTGTTGATTTCAGCTATGATATCTTTAACCCCCGTTTGTTCCCTAGTCCACTCTGCTCTCTTCATGTCTCTTAAGGTTACACCTACCATTTTTATTTCCATTGCTCGCTGCGTCGACCTCAATTTAAGCTGAACCCTCTTTGTAAGTCCCAAGTTTCTGCTCCGTAGCTAAGTACCTGCAAGATACAGCTGTTATATACCTTCCTTTCGAGGGATAGTGGCAGTCTATCTGTCATAATTTGAGAGTGCTTGCCGAATGTGCTCCACCCCATTCTTATTCTTCTAGTTAGTTCAATCTCGTGGTTCGGCTCCGCGGTTATTACCTGCCCTAAGTAACTCCGTAATCATGAGTTGCAATTCGTCCCCTGAGTTACTCTGCAATGCAATGTCATCGGCGAAGCGCAGGTTACTAAGGTACTCTCCATTAACTCTTATGCCTAACTGTTCCCATTATAGGCCTCTGAAAACCTCCTGTAAGCACGCGGTAAATAGCACCGGGGAGATTGTATCCCCCTGCCTTACTCCCTTCTTGATTGGTATTCTATCGCTTTCTTTATGGAGCACTATGGTAGCCGCTGATCCCTTGTAGATTTCTTCCAGGATGTTCCACATGCCTCCCACATGCATACGTCTATTAACTCATGGACCTAGAATATACGGGTATCACGGAGGAAGGAAAGGCTATTATATTCTAGGCACTACCCGAATACTTGCGGTGCCACTGCCGCCATTATGGTGGCTAGAAGGCACCATACCGCCATCTTGAACTCGTGAAACGAATGCTAGAGTTATTGTATATGCTAACTTTAGTATATGCTACCTAAAGGTAGCATATCAGTAATTCTAACGAATGCTGAAGTGCAGCGCCTCTGTGAACCAGTTCATGAAGTGCAGGTAAAACGAATAGACCTTACAGTACGTAGGCTAAAAGCACCTAGACATTGCAGAACACTTTTTAACTTTGAAAAATAGCAGAGTTACCGTATATGCTAGCTAAAGGTAGCCTTTACAGTAACTCTAAAAAAATACCCCTATTGAGCGTCATCTTGCGGCGAAAACACATACTTAAGAAATTTTTAGCATGACTACGGTTCCCAGGAAGCATAGCCTTCGAGATACAAACGCGAAGTGTGTCGCGTTTGCTTTTTCAAATGTTATGTTTTTAACATGGCCTTCGGAACAAGCAACGCACATCAAATTAATCTGTTTTTTTTTGCATTAAATGAACGTTTACAATTGCACCAATGTAGAGTCAACATAATTTTTTTAAGTAACAAAAATCAAATGCGTGAGTTGTTTGAAAATCAGTCTCAAAACGTGTACACGTTATTGACAATGCGGTTCTCCTGATAACATACAAGCGTAATTTTATTTACAAGATACACCTTAACAAATATTTTTATACATTTTTGTGGGAATGTTTTACATAGTTTCGAGCAGCAGTACACTGTCTAGCATAGGTTGCGATTCTAAGTTCACCAATCATCATCACTTATTTTTGATGCCCGTTTACACAATGAGTATCCTTATTTTCACGCACGCTAGGATAGCGATGGCAACTGTCATGCACGTATATACACATACGTGCTACATGGTTTGATTATGTCGCGGAGTTGCAAATGTTAAAAAAATTCTCTTTTTTAAAGAATACTTACGTGCTTATTGCTGCCTTTACACGATTGTGCTAATTTTGCCAACAACGTGAACTTGAGACGAGTCCTACGCTAGCGACGTCCGACGTCGATCGTGAGAAGTTCGCCTCACCCGTTCGGCGTTTCCGTGGTTGTGTGGGATTCCGAAGTTTATTTTGGACAGTTCGTAAACATTCGAAAAAAGACTCGTGCAGCTCCCGCCGCTCGCGTCCGCTAACATGAAACATGCAAAGGGCCGGACAGCCTCAAGTTTAGTCATCGTGCATTAATGGATGTATCAGGTAAGCCTCAGACTTCTCGAAGCTGTCGGTCTCGTCGCCGTCGACGACGTTGAGGGGGCAAGGTGGGGAAGGAAACCGCTCGCCCCCAGCAAGCGATGATGGTTGGGCTTAACGCAATTAGTGCTGTCGTTAATTAACGCTTGATTTGCGTACACTGCACGCCGTGTGTGCACTTTGCGTGCTCAGTCGCACTCGAGCTGACCCTCAGGGCGCGGCCGGTGCACGATACGTGGTTGCAAATTCGCTGGCCCGAAGTGAACGGCAGTCTGTCCTTCCTGCTTCGCTAATTTGCTTTTATTTTTTTTTCCTCGCCTGCGTTTTCCCTCCGCTCGCCCTATTCCGTGCGAGAAACACGAATTCCGTCGTCGACACCAATTTCTGGACAGGGTATGACGCGCGGCAATGGATCTAGCCTCGTTCGTAACTGGGGAAGGGGAAGAAAAAAAAAGCTCGACATATATTTTTTTCCGCCTCTTTTTCTCTGCTTTGTGAGAGAGATGAATCGCGGCCGTTTCGGTGTGCACGGCCTGTTCCGGGGCTCTGACCGGACGAACCTTTCGGCGTCGAAGCACAGCGCAGCTGCTGCGTCCATGCACAACGCGCCTGTGGCCATGTGTGGCGTCGCGAAACGCGGCTCGTAAGCGCACCTGCATGGCACGCGCAAACAGAGCAGACAAAGTTGGCAAAGTTCATAACCGTCAGTTAGTTTAGTAGCGTCGTCATGGATAAGAGCATATTTAGAGATAGATTGTGGCTCACCTTGTCGGTTGGTTTAAAAATAGCAATAGCAGAAGCACGTTTTGCTACTTAAACCTTCTCTCACTTCAATTATCACTGAAGCAGAAAGCTCGATTTTTAAGATATGCTAGAGTTATGAATAACTCATTTTCAGCTTTCAGGTAAATGTAAGTACGCTTAGAGGTACTGACTAACTCTTGTAATGTCGTGCGTAACCTAAAAGAAAGTGTATTAGAAATATTTGGCCAGACACTGGAAGAAAATTGATGATAATGAGTGGGCTACTTGTTAAGGCATTTGTTCCCTGCCAATGCTAATAGGCTATGTCGGTGCACAAAACCGTAAGCTATCCAGGGACCTCTGTTTGTAAACAGGGAAAAGATTTATAGTTTCCTTACAATATTTACTGGAGGGAATTTCGGCACTGCCATGGCTCAGCACCACGTGAACTGATAGGTGGTACATATATTTGCCACATCTTTGCGCCTGTGGTTTTGAAAGCACCTGAGCCTTTGTTTATTATTGTGCTTTGGCTTTTGTTTCGTGTAAGACAATGGAATCGTCGTGAACTTCATAGCTTGATTTGAATTGGTGTGCTTAAAAAGGTCAAGATGAAGTGTAACTGCTGAGCATTTGCTGAACTTCGTCTTTGTCAAAGCACCTGCGTGCCTCACGAAGACAAACGCAGCTGAAAGAACAAAGTTTAGACAAATTCATGCTATATTCATGTTAGACAAACTTCATGGTTAGTAGCACGAAAGAGCACACACATTGAGCAGGAGACAATTTGTGGTCTCGTGGTGTCATCATAACTGGGATACTCTATCTCATCCCAATTTGAAATTCCAAATTGAATTTTGAAATGTGTAATTCGAAAATTAAGTTGAAATGCTGAAAAAGTTTGCTTCCTCCTCTTTGCAGAGCTCTTGAATTTTCTCGTGTTTATGTTGTTGGTGCTATCTTCAGAGCTGGTGTGCAGCCATTATCATTGCAGTGACAATTGCGCATTAACTTTTGCTTGTCGAATATTTCAGACTTGTAAGGGGTGTTCACGCTATTAACATTGAAGTGCTCTACACGGTCAGTTCTTTACGAAGGCATTCAAGTAAGAAATCTAAGTCGTAGGGCAATAAGATGACAAGCACCATGGTCATGATCTGTCTTTCCTAATTTTGACATGTTACAAGTCTCATATCTACAGAATAAAAGATGTTTGCTTATGGAAGTTGCTTGAGCCCTATTGAGACTTTCGTTCCATTTGCCTCCAAGATGTCGCAACTTTAGGAAGAGCAAGCATAGTTGCCAATTTTACATGATAGCCCTAATTTGCTGCAAACAAATCCTATTCAAATGTGCATGACTACAAAGTTGGTTGCTGTAGTACAGGATTTACCCGAAAAAGGAGAAATTCATGGGCTTTTTATTTTCTCAGATAAACTAATAATGACTACTAACATACCATGCCAAAGAAAATATAGGGGGCATTAGTAAATCTGAAGAAAGAAAAGTAGATGAAAAAGATAACTTGGCATGTGGGGAACCGAGCGTGCAACAGTCTCAGGTTCTGTCCCGGCCAGCGAAGAGTCATCTTTTCGTCCAGTTTTCTTTATTTACATTTACATCACAATTACTAATAACATCCCCCTATACTTTCCTTGATGCCATTGTCTGTTAGTTCTCATTAAAAGGATATCATAGCTGTTATATACATTATGTTGCAAAGCTTTAAAAAGACATGTTGTATTGCTGAGATATTATGTAAAACTGTCTTCAATGGTGTTAACGTGTTCATAACAGCAATAGAGCAAAATTGAAAAGCCATTTAAGCTGAAATTAGGTAGCTTCCGAGTTAGAAAATTGTACTCATTAATTGAAATATGAACGTTTCATTACCTAAGTGAGTAGACTCTGTTAGGTGGGAGCACAAGGACACCAAAAGTAGCATATTAGTTCTCTGAATGTTCACAAGGCAATTATAATCCATTTGTCTTCAGCACAGTGAGTGAGTAAAAACTTTATTGAAAATGTCCGGCGGTATTTAGCGGGGTAGAGTTACAAGCAGCCCAGCCTGCCATTTTTTTTTTATTTTTCAACTATTAAGCTTTTCTAAAAACCCTATATTGTTTTCTTTTGCAGCTGCAAAAAAAGTAGCACAATATATATTTTTTATTTCCTGTGCTATTGTTGTGAATCAGTAAAGTAGACTATTGAATTTTCATACATGAAATTCCTTAACAAAAAAAATTAAATTTTGACTGCTGGGTTGCTTATGAGTTGTTTTTAAGGCAGCAACATAAAATTCTACTGAGTGGACAGAACAGATGGTCTTAATTAGGATCGCTAGTTTTATATTGTACTTCTAATGAGAAAGGGAGTAAATGAGCCACAGTATATAGATTTGAATCTACAGCCTAATTAAGGTTAACATTATGAGAACACCTGTTAATTAAAGACAAAAGCTTTCTAAATTCTGGAAGGTGTGCTGGCAAACATTAGTGTGCCTTCAATAATTTACTGAAATATTTCACATTTCTTAATTTCATTACTTGGAGCGTCAAGCAAATCACTGCAGCTGCTGTACATGAGCTCAAATGGAAGGAAATATTTTGTCACCTGTCAGTAATTTATTAGCAACATTGGTATACTTAGCTTAATTTTGAACACCATAGCAAATTTTTCTCTTTGGCTTGGTGTCATTGAGAATATTACTGAGCGTAGAAACAAGGACACAACCTCCTTGCTTTTTTGTGCTTGGCGATATTTTCAATCGTGCAAGAACTGGAAGAAAAATGGCAGGAAGAGGAAGATAGAAGCTTAAGAAGAAAAAACTCCGCAAACAAATGTTGTCTGCTCGAGCTACAATCTCTGTTTACAGATTTTTTTTTCATATGTAAAAAAAAAGATATCGGGGGTTTTACGCCCCCAAAACGACCGTATGATTATGAGAGATGCCATAGTGCAGCGCTCTCGCAATTTTGGTCATCTCGTTTGGACATCGCACAGCACATCGGCCTCTACCATTTTGCCTCCATCAAAATGTGACCCCCACAGCCGTGACTGTACCCGCATCCTTCAAGTCGGCAGCCGAGCACCTTAACCACTGCTTCACAGTGGCTGACATAACTAAAAAATTTTTGAAAAGGCCCAAGACATTTCAACTAGCCATAGAATGGATTCACTAAAGAAGCTTATTGCCTCACCAATTCACCGTCATTAAAATTTTAAGAATCCGTCCAGTGCTAGCAGAGTGGCAAAGATTTGTCATATATTACAATTGCATTCTCTCTTCTATTGTCCCTACGAAAGTGCTGGAAGCTAAGCAGGGAGGCATGGCCTAGGGTAAAAAATATGTGACGCGTGTCTTGTGACCTTGAGCACTTCTTTTTCTTTGAATGTCTGAGTTCTCAGGTGGGATTGCACGTGCATGCATGGATAAGTTGCAGCCTCTTGTGGCGGCCTTTAATAACAACCGAACGTGCCATGCTCAAATCAGCCACTGGCAAATACTTGGCCTGTAGCGCAGTTTTCGTTGAGCCTGTAGCGGTATTTGTTGAGAGAAGGCAAAACGATTTCAGCTGACTGAGAACTTACTGTGAATTTTGGGCCACATGCTGTGCTACAATATTTGGCTCGCATGTTCTTGGAAGCCTCGGCTACCGATTGCCAGCATTTTTATAGCGTGCTCAAAGAATCGGTGCAGGCCCCCTTTAAGACAGTGTATCATGGCAGGGCTGGCATCCTTATGCCTGTAATAGTGTGCTATGTTTAGCTGCCTTCATACTAGCTGTGTTTAAGACTTTTGGATGGGAAATACATTTCCTAGGATTTAGCATGAGCAACTCATCAGCATACATTAACTGGCATAAGGTACCAGCTTAACCTTTACTTAGATTTTGTTAGATTAATAATTTTGTGAGTACATTACTGTTTATAATATTTGTCATACAGCCCTGTGCTGATGTAATGACATACATGGTCAAGGAACTTGGGGAAAAAAAAAGTGAAGCTACTGCTTCATAAATTTGGCACCAGCTCAGCAACTAGTACTTGTAGCAGTAATACGATTGCAGCTTGATTGGTAGAGCACCGGACAGGTAATTTGGGGGTTATTAAATAGCTAATTAAATATGAGCCTTAAATAGCTCATTTTGCAGTAATTCAGGTGCTTCTCAAGAATTTCACATTCCCGTCAAGCGTGAATTGTGTTGCACTGCCTTTAAATGCTGTGAAATTCACATGCCGTAATTCCAAGGCTCCCAATTTTGCATTTCAGTATTTAATTTGAATTATTATGTAATTAAAGGCTTAATTCTTCTTGTCAGTCATGTTTCATTTTGGCACAAAAACAAAATAAGAGGCTCCAAATGTGTGTGCAGTTATTTCTGGGTTGCATTCTTTTTAAAAAAAAAAAAAGTTGTACTTTTGGCATTGGTTCACAACACTACGCATTAAATAACTTATCAGTGTATTCATTAAAGTGATCAGCGGCAGTTACAGGAAGCACACAGAGATTCATTCAAAACATATCCTATATGGAAAAGCTTTGGTTCGTGCGATGGGCAATGTATCTTGCTTGGTTATGGCCTCAAGTCGTCACTACTAGCAGAAATAAATTTCGTACACGAAAGTAGGCGTGGCCGCTCAAAGGGATGTGGTCGATGCCTATTTAAGCGATGTTGTAAGACTGCAATGACAGGACCTGCACCCCAGCTCAAAGCACTAGTACACATTCAATAAAGATAATTTTGTTGTTGGTTCTCGGATAAACCTTTAAGGTCGGTGACAACTTTTACTCGCAGTTGTGATACGGTTCAGCCAGAGTTATAAAAGAAACATTTATTTTCCCATTATGCCTATACCTTGAAAGAGTTGCAATAATTGTTTTTTTAGATGATTGCAAATAGCAGTGTACTTGAATTTCTGCCGAACTTGCTCGTGTTATGACTCGTGCTGACTCTAGTATACCGTTTTTTAATATACCAACTTGATGCTTTGGGCCTTGTTTTCATGCTTTATACCCTAGAAAAGGCTCCGGCAATGTGTAAGGGCACCTTGAGCAGTAATGGCTCATTCAATGATATTGAGTACTGGGGAAGTGTTTGTGCTTTCCCACAGAGTCCCATTCTCGTAAGACTTTCATGCCTGCAATCGTTGCTCCTGCCAAATGTATGTGTGTGCGGAGCATCATACCAAGCGATATTGCTACACGTGGTCAGCATGATTTGCTTTTTCTTGCGATTTTTTAAGAATGTCAGTGACGCCCGGTCTGGTGTGTCAAGACGAACTATAGTGCCAAATTGAATTGCGTGTCCCAACTTTCAAATTTGCTTGGTGTTGTCCTTCTAGAGGTGAGAAGTACCGAGTTCCTAATACTTTGAAAACATCTTTTTGTGCCTTTAGTAGCTGGTTCATTCTGGAACAAAGTAGCAAAAGTAAATTTTCTCTTTACTGCAGTTGCCTTTCAGAACGCCTAAATGCTGTCACTGGCTGCAATATTTGCATATGTTTAAAGACGAAATTTGCCTTATATCAGTCCGTTATCTCTTGTGGTCTTTATTAAGTACTCCTTTGTACATTCAACTCGTGTAGAAAATTAAATGGAAATTACTTGAGTTGGTTACAAAGAAAGGCAAACTGAACATGGATTTATGTGAACAAAATCCGCACCCAGAACTGGATTTATGTGCTTTTTCATCCCTGTCTGGTTCACGCTTTGAGATGTACTTATGGATTATGAGAGTACTCGAATCATTTCTTTTTGAAACGTTTATTAGAGCCACTTCAGCTTTATTTCACACTATTACTAATGTGTGCTGAGGAGATGGCAAAATTAGAAAGCTATTCAAATCAACCATGTGATGCTCTCTCAAGTGTGTGTTCAGAAATGTATATAGTTTGCCATTATAATCCCTGAGGCCACAATGCAAGCTTAATTTTCTGTCAATTTATAGCATGTGCTGATAAACATTTGTGTTTGGTTTTGATATGAACTTTCTGGTGCCTACGAGCATCAAGTACTTCAAAAGAGAGACTTGTCTAGTCTGCATATTCTGCAGCACAGTGGCATTTTTGTAAAGTCGATGTTGCATATAACCTTGGCAGGACACATCTCCTGAAGTGAAGAGTATTACACAAAATGTAGTATACTTTGCTTGCACGCACATACATTTACATGGGTACACGCCTAAGGTCTGTGCATGTGCCGTATTATTATAGCTGTGTCAGACGGCCCTTTTGAAACGTCATCCAGTAAATGGGCATTGAAACGCCACAACTATATCGATTCAAAGGAGTAGTCTTGCTGCTACACGGCTGTATAGAATGGCCTTGAGCGCGTCAGGAGTGTGTCGCAAAAATTGTGGGACACTGCGTATCATTTATTTTTATATTCATGTCGCCTAAAGCTATTAAATAGTGCAAATTCACTGAAAAACTCAAATGTTGGTTGATCTTTTTCATATACTACAGAGAATTGTTCATTCTTAGTTATGAGAATGTATCTAGTAATGCTGTACAGTTAAACTGGGGTGAGTGATACACATCGAAATGGCATGATGAAGACAAGCACTGCTGTTAAAAGTATGTGCAGTTTGCACATTTCAAGTAGCAAATGTGAAATGTGCGCTAATACATCTTTCGCAATACTCTCATACTTGACCAATGAGTCAGCTTAACTATCAGTTTGATGGCTTTCCAAGTGTCCATTAGACGTGGCATAAGAAAAAATCTATCAACCATAATGGTACAGTGCTTATGGTGTTTGGTTGCCAACACCAAGCTTTCAGACTTGATCTTGGCTGTGGTGGGTGCTTACTGATGGAAGTGAAATACTAAAGGCCTGTGTGCTGTGTGATAGGGCAGGTTAAAGATTTCCAGATTGTCAAAATTTACAGAGCCCTTTTCTACAGCCTGCCTCATAGTCCTGTTGTGGTTGTGGCATACCCCTATTATTATTATTATTATTATTATTATTATTATTATTATTATTATTATTATTATTAAGGATGCACGCAAATAGATATGTGCCCTGTTATAATCTGCACTTTTTATTCTTGCAATGGCTTTCTATTCACCGGTGGCCAGGCTGGCAATTCGGCCAGTTTGAGAAGTGGTTGATGTGGTTCAAATTGTGTGTGAAAGGTATTGAAAAGGGTTTTTTTTTTTTTTTTGTCTTGTACGCATTGCTGTGTTCATAGCTGTGGAAGTGCTTGTTTGGGTTGCCTCAACTGCGGCGCTATCGTGCAGATGCGGACTTTGACTCGTACTGGGAGAATGAGTCTCGCAACAACAACCGCAACCGCATTCGAGTAGGTCGGCAGTACCAGGCCACTGTGCCTCCACTGCTGAGGCCAGGTGAGTGACTCTACTTGAAGGAAAGTAGTGTGTATTAGTAAGTTACCATATTGGAATAAGTTCAGGCTGTGTACAGCTGTTACACGAATGAGTCAATAAAGAACAGTTCTTAGATATCAGACAGAAAATGCACAAAAGTATTGTATGGGTGGCTATGATGCCTTGGAACTCTCCACATTAGCCAATCGTGGCATCTGCTATTTTCACATTTTTTTAGACCTCATTGTTTTGTTATTAGTCATTTATTTTATTATTAGTAAAAATGTACATGGGGCTGAGATTGAGACTGAACAATTTTATTGAACTTATAACCTTCCTTTATACTCCCTCTCTCTACCCCCCTTCACATTAAAAAAAAAAAAAACTTTTGGGTTATCAGTGCTGGGTTTCCTGCAGCTGGGTTTCCTGCATTTTGATAAAATAATTGTTTCAGCACATAGTTGTATGAGGAGTAACACAAATGTACAGGACCAGTGCAATTATTTTTGTTTGCATTTTGCTTTACTAAGAACCTGTTACCATGGAAATAATGAAGATAGTGTTGTGCGCTTTCAACAGGACTGGTGCAATTATTTTTGTTTGCATTTTGCTTTACTAAGAACCTGTTACCATGGAAATAATGAAGATAGTGTTGTACGTTTTCAACCTATACTAGGGAGCCTTCATATTGGGCGTCTCTGTGTTATGGGTGCTGACAACTTCGATCATGGTTGCCTACAACTAGCTGAAGCGGCCGTCATACTTGACGGGCCGCCATGTTGGTTCTGAGCAATCGCTCATTTACATTGAAGGCAGCGTGGTTTTCAATGAGAGGGGTGTGGGTTTTCTTTATATATAGCAAGTTGTGAACGCTGAAGGTTTATTTTCTGAAGTTAGCCGCTGTTTTGTAGTAAAGGAAAAATGTGTTCGTGACTCGAGTTTGTATAAAATACCGTTAAAACATTAGTTTCTCCCATGTATAAAATACCGTTAAAACATTAGTTTCTCCCACCTTGTAGACCTACCGCATTGGTGGAGTGAGGATATTTATGGAGCCTATACTTGCAAGGGGGAGAACCACGATGTCACTTGAATGGAATTCAATGTCTGCACGGCATTCCTGAAGCAAATTCACCTTATCACTGCAGACACCTCAAAGGCTTCCTAGTGCAAGGCTTGAGACCGAGCTGTATTATATGACGATATACCAGTAACTTTTATCCGTCCGATCCTCGAGTACTCATCTGTGGTTTGGGACCTTCATAGCCAAGTAAATATTAACACTTGAAATGATTCAAAGAAAAGCAATCCGATTTGTATATAATCGCTACAGTGCTCTTACGTCACCCAGTGAACTTTTAAAAAAAGCTGACTTGGATACATTGCAGGCAAGACGGCAACACGATCGATTGAAGTACATGTTTCTACTTTACCACGACAAGCTACACATAGACAAGCATGCGTACATAAAAACGGCTCACCGCCGATCAACTCGTTCCGAGCATCCAAAAAAACTGAAGGAATATTCCTGTAAAACAAAAGCCTTTAAAAGCTCATTTTTTCCGCGCACTGTCACTAATTGGAATGCTCTTTCTGCCGATCTGGTGAACTGCGAAACCGTTCAGTCGTTCATGGGAAAACACCATGGGAAACACCAGCAACCCACTTGACTTTGATCTTTCTTTGCGCTTCGCCCTCTATTATTCCACCGCGCATCCTGAACAGGCTTCTATTTATGTTCCACTTTCTATCACTTTTTTCATATCAATGTGTTGTATTTTTGAAATGTTGTCAATTTTTGAACCGTTATATGATGTTTCTTTCTTAGTTCTGTATGAGCAGATGTTTGTCATCATAGTTTTTTTTGTACGTGTACGCGTAAACCACTACAATTGTGTAAGTACTGGCGTTTTACTTTGATGCACTAGTTCTTGATGGTGTAGCTCTACGTGACGTGTTTCCTTTCCTGTTGTATCTTCATATTTGTTTCCTTTTTTGTATCACCCACCCCTGCCTAAGGCCTCATGTGTGAGGCTGGCAGTACTTCTGAAATAAATAAATAACTAATGGACAGATCAAACAACCGGGTAGCTCGAAATGTAAGCTGCATAACTCCGCTAGCCTGTTTCTTATACACTAAATATTACTTTTGTTCGTTATATAATTTCCTACAGCAAGTTTAGTTCCTACAAACGAATCTGTACAATAGACTGCTTAAAAACCTCACAAGCTGCAAGCATTGCCAGGAAATAGTAGGACACTCATATTACACCAACCCCCACCCAACACACACACACAAGCCTGTATATTAGGCTAGAAGAAAACCAAAGGGGAGCAACAAGGAACGAACCAAGTTATTCCAGGACGGGTTTTATCGCGAACAGCATTCAAACAGCATCTGGCCTTAATTTTTCAAACCATCCTGCCTCCTTTGCTGGAAGCTTGTCCTCGTAGTTGGCCTACAATAAAGCAATAAAACTAAGTGTCATACGTGGCGGTGACCACATATATGGAGTCCATACACATTTTCTCTACAAGCACTAAATAAAAACTGAGTTTACGATCATCTTTGTGGCTGGTTATGAAACAGGACGGCAAAAATGATGCAGCAGCAATCTCCCATACTGTATATCTGAGTTATTGGCCAGCAACCGACTTGCTTAGTGCACATATAATACACCGTTCAGAACCGAGAGACAGACAGAAGGATGGACGGGCACAAACAATAAATCTGCTGCATTCTATATTATTAAAGCGAAATCCTTTTTGCCATTGTTGAGTGAGTTTTGGCGTAGTTCCCCATGTCATTGAAGGGAAGAACGAATACCCCATGGCAAGCCACACAAAGTTTAGTTGTGTTGCAACTGCGCAAGACTACAAGAGTCTACAGGGAGCGCGTTTCTTGGCTCATCTGTCTACCTCTCCAAATGCTCTTCCTCAGCGACCGAGGTGAAAGTGCAGGAACGTGAACATCTGCCGGCAAAAGAAGACGCGAACGCGAGCGTCTGTTAGTGGTTTACGGGCCTGGCGTTTCTCACGGCGAATACGGCAACGGCAACGGCTTCGGAAACCGATAAAACGCTGATAGTGAATGCATGCAGGACCACATGCTCGACAAGTCAAATCATTCGATTTGTGAACTGCGCTTCGACTACGAGGATAAACAAACATACTCAAAGTTAACCAGCTTTCACTCGCATAACCCGGCGTGGCTGAACGAAGCCTGATCCATTTTTTTACTGTGCAAGTTGTCGTGTTTATTTTTTTTTTTCAAACTGCTTTTCGTCGCATGAATAAGTCAATAATTTTACAAAATATGCAGCGATATAATCGATCCACTCGCTCCAAGTTGGCTTCCAGCAATCTCGCTTCACTTATGTAATCCAGCGTTTCCATCGGCTGTCGGGAAGCGGAATAGTCTCCAGATGGTTTTGCAGTGCAACACGCAGCACCCTCACATTTACGATCCAAAGTTCTTGTTGGTGCGCTTAGCGCGAGGGAGGTGTCTTAACGAAAGCTAGGCGTACGATGCTTCCACACCCATACCAACATGCAGCTGGTGCAGTGCGACAGAGCAGAAACGCCTGGCCGCGAGAAACAACATGGCGCTTGTTGCCATGTGTAGGGGGTTCATCCTATGTACGGCTGACGCAGAAGCCTAGCTAATGTTTCAGCCGCACACAGTCGTACTATGCATGATTAACGTCCCCTATTCTTAGCTAGTCTCATTGCAGCTACACAGGTTCGTGCGAATAAGGCAACAGGCTAGGTCAACAACACTGTATTGCTAGGCGTTGGCAATAGCGCGCAAATTTTGCGAGGAGATCGGAAAACAAGGGTAGACGCTTACTCCTTGGTCGTTGTCGTCCTCGGCTCGCAGAAGGGTTGCGGGTTCGACCTCCCTCGTTCGTGTCCTGGCCGGTGTCAGAGAGCGTCCAGCCATCCGCACGCTAGTTTTGTCCACTGACTCGGTTTCCTTCTCCCTGACAAGAATAATACCTTTTCTCACTGAAAGAGGGGAAACCTGTTCCGCACGTCGGGAAAAGGAGAATCGCGAGCGCCGGCCGTGGGTGTGTTTCCGCAACTAGGCTTTCACGCTGCCATAAAAAGGGAAAGGGAGGTTGGGCGCGCGTGCTCCTCCACACATGGCAACCAGGACTGGCAACATTGTGTTTTAGCAGGCGGCAAGTGGTGGGTCCAAAGCTGACGCTATCCTAAAAACACGGAGACGCGCGCACATGAAGGCTCCTTAACATATACTGATTTGTGTGTGCACATATGTAGGTGTTTCAGGTTCTCCCCCATAGTAAGAATTTTTCTGTCAGCAATGCATAGAAAGCAGTCTACTAGTGCAGATAAAGTGACTTTTTCTCTTTAGTTCACTCTAGAGTTGTTTTTAAAAGGTACGCATTCGTTCTCCTTTGTATAGTATCTTTTCCTTTTGTTCTTTTTAGATTACCGGGCAAGAAAATACACATACACGCACAGAATATGCCTTAAGAGCAAGTCTATGTCGCAATAAAGAATAAAAAGAGAAAAAGCCAACATATGTGTGCAAGTAATTGCAGCTGCTGCATGGGCATTCCATGCTTTCTTTGACATTTAATTGGCACTTGCTCTTCAAATATTTAATTATTGGGCATTCAAGGCAGGCCTTCTCTATCGAGTTTTTGCTGTGTGCACCGAATTAGCTGGCTGGATTTTGTAGTTGTACTTTAGAGGTGTTGATAAAATCATCAGACAGACAATATCTATTTTTAACCCGATAGCGTTAGAGCTCGTTTCACAGAAATTATGGCATTGGTGTCAGCGTTGGCGTCGTTGGTTGTTAGTGAAAAATTGTCTTGTGCGTGACCGAAAAATAGAGAAAGATGGAAATAAAATAATAAAACATACTCGCTATGGGTGGGGATCGAACCCGGGTCGTTTGCGAGACAAGCAAATGTTCAATTGTGCAGCCACGTGTCTGCTTGTAAACACAATAAAAGTAACTTCCTCTGCTTGGAATTGCAGTGAAAGTAACTTTCATGCTTTATGAACACACACGTCCTGTATACATGCTTCACAATACAACATGAAATATTGCTGTAATATGCGTGGTAGAAAGATAAAATTGCCATATCGCGTCAGAGCATGCGATTATTATGATTACTTCATTGTTTATTTAAAGCCGGGCACACACATTACTGCACCTATTCTCTTAAGGCCACTTAGTGGGGACATAGCAAGTTCGAAAAATTTCATTCACCGAGAGTTTAGAGTACGCTCTAAGGACAGGGTATTGCTGTCACGTTCAACTGTTAAGGGCAAAGCGTAAGGGTCTGCGAATTTTTTTGTAACGGATGCTTTGTGAGAGAGCCTAAGTAGTTTAGTATAAAAGTATACGAGAAGTTTCCATGCTAATTTTGCGGTACGTATGGAAAGAACCACTGCGTGTGTACGTCTTAAAGGGACCGCAAACTGCCCAGAACATGAAATGAGAAGACTCCGCTAATTGAAATACTTGTCAGTCTCAATTACTCAAACATATCAGTCTTTTTTTCATAGAGGTGAATTTATAATTTCATTTTCTTTACTAAAAGTAACGAAAAAATGATCTGTGGCTCATTTGGCAGCAGAAACATGAACGGTCTATTGTACCTGGCCACATGATCATTAATTGCTTTATGCGGTCAATGATTTTGTTTGTTAGTATTAAAAAATATTGGTTTATTTATATTGAAAGATGTTACTCCATAAAAACGTACATATAGGCCTGTATTAGTAGTTTTCAAGAAAAAGGCGCTGCATTCGGATGACGTAATGATTCCATGCTCGTCAGCACATCTTGAGCGACTTTTCAGCATGCAAGCGTGCACAGAGTTTCTAAATTGCTAAGATTTTTGCGACCTACGCTTCGTGTACGCATCTCTTAACCTACACATTGAGAGATGCCATTGTTTTTCCTTCGATAGCTTGACATTTTTATTATTTGGTATGCTGGTGGTTTTAAAGTATAAAAACAGTACAGACGTCGTTGCAGGCTACTCTACAGAAGCTTTACAATACTGCTGTTTTGAAATGGCTTTGAAATTTGATACAACAGGGGCAGTTTCACGTCGGGAAACACAGTGCACATGGGCCTTCTGAAAAGTGTTCTGGCTCTCGTTCATGGCATGAGACATTACGACAACTCGGGAACATAAGCACAAAAGAACACTAGTGTACCGCTGGGAGCATGGCATGAAAGCAGCTTCGATGATGAGCCCGCACTAGTGCAACAGCTCTGGTGAACAAAAACAAATCTTGGAAGCCTTACTTTTATTATAACTAGTGTGTCACAGATGCTATCATTGTGCAAGTACAAATCTCTAAGGCCATTCTTTTTCTTGCAGGAACCTCAAAATCAGTCATGGCTGTTGTGCACCCATGACCAAGTGCGGTTGTTATGGGGGGTGGAAGGGAGTATCGAATCTTTATGGCAGTTATCTGCTGCAAACGCCTGGATATTGGCCCAGCTCGCTGTGCGTGATATAGATGCGGAGAGAGGGGATTTTCTTTGACCCTCGAAGTACATTGCTTTTCTTGTGCTCCTTCCCTAAATTGGGTACAGTGCTTTTGTAGGATCTGGCTTTTTCTAATGAAGATGAATGAACTAGTGCTAGAAAACGTGAAACATCATGAAGAAAGCAACGAGACAAGTGTATGGCTTGCAGCTTTCTTCATGTGCCATATTTTTTACGTGCTGTTTTCATTGATCATGAATTCTTCTAAGTTCCTTAGCAAGTTGTTGTGCTCCGTTTTTAGGGGAGAGTGATGGGCGTCGCCTGGAAGACTTGGAGACGCTCCGGTGGCGGCCCGAGAGCCTGTCGGAGCAGAGCATCGAAGAGTACCTGTCTATGGCCAAGGCGGTGAGCCTTTTTGCCCGCGCCATGAACAAGTGGGGCCCCGAAGGAGGCGGAGGACCCGAGTGCCTGCAGACGGCACTGCGGGGACTCTCAGATTTCGTGGCCTCGCACCACGGCTGCCAACAGGATGCGGGCTGCCGCGTGGCCCAACCCCCACCACCAACGTGGACATCCGCCGAGGCGGGCTTGTTCGCTCGCGCCCTGGACGAATGTGGGAAGAACTTCGGCGCCATCAAGAAGGACTTTGTGAGTGGCCGTATATGTGTTTGCACATTTACCGAGGACATGATTTCAACATTTAGGGCCTGGAATTTCAAATAAATGATAGTATTATATGCATAACACATTTGCAAACAGACAGTGCAGCATTTCGCATAAATGCAGCATCTTCAAACTCTCTACAGAAAGTGGTGTGTTGAACATTTTGGTGGTCCTATAAAATAAAGTGCTTGCTTGTACAGTAGAGTCTCATTAGCACTTTTGTGACCATGCTGGTTTTAATTGTTACTATGCTAATTATGACATCATGTTCAAATTTCTGTGCTCCCTGAACGTTTCTGGATAGCTAACATGATCTAAATGGTAGAAAAGCATGTTTATTTTTTTTAGTGTTTAAGTTTTTTAAAGTTTCTTTGTGAAGTTTTTATCACTGTTACTTAAAGGTCGTTTACAGTCAGGGTGACGAGTAATAAAGGTTTCGGCTATGGCATTGATGTCACTCACAGGGGCTCTAATAACTAAATGGTAAATTTTGAAAAATTCCAATGAATGTGAACATCAATCTCTGGATGATGGTAGCAGCCCCGACATGGAAGACAGCTTTGGTTTCTTAGACTTCAGTACAGTTAGCGATAGTGCGTCAGACAGCCCTGGAACATGAGCAAATATCCGTCGGTAAGTTTTGCTCTCTTTGGGTCGTTTTATTGCGGCCATGTGTTAATGTAAACGAATCCGGTGCAGACTGTGGTCAGTTATAATGTGCAAGGTGTCAACTTTATTCGAGCGGGAATATGTAGAGCTGGCTGCAAGAACAATGGAATTCTGTTCCATAAAACGCCACAGAGGGAACCTTCGCCTAGCGCTCCAGAGTATCATGAGGCAGCTTCTTTGTGTTGTTACTGTGAAAGCTGTATTTGGCTAGGCGAAATGAAAAATCGTTCTGCAGCAGTGTCATAAGCAGTCTCCATTGGCTGTGTTATCAGTTATGTCATCTGCAGCGCCGTACCAAGCACCTGCGCCATTGGCTGCGTTGCGAGTTCGTGAATCCAACGCTTGCAACAGCGCGACATTGCGGCATCACTATAATAGCTGGAGCGCATTCGCCGGGGCCAACTTTTAGTGGGAGTTTCTCCAGCGGCACTTTGGCTTCGCTGTTACCGCTTGTGGTTCGAGAACACACTGTGATTAACGCATTGCAAAACTAATTTAGACGTTCATTACATTCTTCCATGACCATGATCATGCGATGCAGTGTGTGGCATGTGAAATGAACACTGTGGTAAACCTAAGCCAAATGTGTGTCGAACATGAAACGTATCATTGTGAAAGTCCTCAGTGCAGCGTTGGGTTGAACGCACTGCGGTACACTGGAGCCGAATGCTTCAGCTTTCGCTGCTTAACTACTTGTACGGAGTGCTTGGGCGGTGCTTTTTTTCTCAACAGAAGTCATCGGAGAGAGTGCTACCACACAAATAAGTAGGTGGAGATGCATTTTTTTGGAAAGCCAACTCGCTGTGAGCCAGCCTTTGTTTCGCAGCATCGAAAAACTGCCTCTCACGGTAGCATGATAGGCACTAGTGCTTATATTTTTGTATGTATGGAGAAAACCTGGCCTGCGTGCAGAAGTTCATGAAAGGGTTTAAATATAGTTGTCAATGCATAGTTTCGTATAGTTGATAATGTTAAAACGCCCATGTGACAGTTGTTTCACCTGACTCTATTAAAGTACAGGATGTTGCCTAGTCAGCCCTTCTTCTATGGACCTCCTCAATTCCAATCATAGTTTCGGGCACCCTTTGAAAAAAATTTTTTTATTCAGTGGGATACACTGGCTTGTATTTCATCTACGTTTAAAGCTCACTGGCACCCACTTTACCGTTTCGCTTACGATGCTTGCCATCATAACATTTCAGGTCTCTCGTGTTTTGGCAGCACTTGAAGGAAATTAAGCTTCCCGATGCCTAAGAAAAGGGGTTTATGTACAATAAACTACAGCCGGACTCGGTGGGTTACTGCTGCGGGGCGCTCATTCGCAGTCAAAACAGTTTATCGTCTTTTTTGTCTATCTTTTTTTTTTAACACAAGGCTTATATTCACACTATTACAGTTGAACCCCTAATTAGAGACAAGCAACAGGGCAGCAGTATACTTGTCTTTTAAATTAGATGTCTCTTATAAGCAGGGAACCACGTATGTATTTCATTATCAACCCCTTTTTTTATGCAGGCACATTGGTGTCCGTTGTACCCGATTGTCTGTTACATCAGTCTCTCTTACAGACGAGTTCGACTGTATTTTGTGAGGGCTTTTCGCTCAAAGCGTAGGCTACTTAAATTTTTTTTTCCTGTGCAGTTTAGCGGTGGTGCCCCCTCAATACGTATCTGCATCGATTTCCAAACCAGGCCTCTCCCGAAAGATGGGATAGCTAGACCTCTGATTTCGTGTTACATTCAAAGTGAATGGCTATGTAGACATCTGTACGTGTAGTAGTCATGCTTCAGTAGTAGTTGAGAAGTGTGCCTTTCATGGTTCACCAGCTGCCCTGGAAACCGGTGAAAAGCTTGATTGAGTTCTACTACCAGGGGCGCCATCCCAAGCAGGAACCACAAGAGGATGGAGAGGATGACGAGGGCGCCGCCGGCTGCAGCGGAGGAGGCCACTGTTCTACTGCCAATTGTGTCAAGGTACATCACCAGCTCGGGTCCTGTCATTATACTCTATGGTTAAGTAGCGCACTTTTACAGGGACAGCAGGAACAAAAAAGACGCGCCATTTTTAAAGTTTTTGTAGGCTTGCATTATTTTGCCTTGAAATGTATATGCTGCACATGCTCCATTTTTATCGCTTGAATATATGCGAAAATGTGTTTCGTGGATAAGAATGCATCACACAAAATTTGATATTGCATAAGTTTTAATTGAGTGTTATTTCATTTCTGCGTAGCGTGGGCAATGTTTATACAGTTACACCTTGATATAACGAAATTCATAAATTCCCCAAAAAATTTGTCTTAAAGAGCATTTCCTTATATGCAGGTTCGGTACAGAAATTCAGAAAATAAATGCGCACATTTAACAAAAGGGGCGAGAACGGCGGCATTGCTGGCTCGTGGGGTGCAGGTTCGCCTACCCGCCTCTCGCTCAGTTGCGCGCTATAGCGAGCGCTCGTTCTCGCCTGGTGCGCCGTGTGCGCTGCCGCCGATTCGTGCTTGGTCGGTGGCGGGGCAGCTATGGAAGATGCATTCTGTGCTCGTACCAAAACAAAATGCCAAATTGCGGAGCGAAATTCCTAGATTGTTTGTGGGAAAAATTCGTTATATCAAGGTTGTCTCCTGCTGTTACTTTGTTACATAGAGGTCACAAATACATGTGCTTCTATTGAGCAACGATGGGGAATAGAAAAACTTCGTTATATCGAGAGATTCATTATATGGAGGTTCGCTATAAACAAATTTACATGCAGATACTTCTTCAGTTTCCTCTTCTCGAAGTGTGTGCGAGTTGCTCCAAGGGAATGTGGGAGTGCTGCAATTTAACTTTGCATCAAGTAACCAGCTGCTCTCCGCTGGCTGCCCTTCCGCTGCAGTTTTGTGTGTTCTGTGTTGATGTTCGGTGGCATTTTTTTTTTTTTTTGTCTGTGTGCATGCCTCGTCGCTGTCTGTTCACTTGGCATGCTTCCACGGGTTATCAGAAGACAGTTCGACCCCTACAGTCACGAAGACGCTCGGACATCTATGACGTAGGAAACTCTCAGAGCAGCGTGAGGGCTAACGACGTCAATCAAAATTTCAAAGTCGCGCCTTTTTGTGGCAAAGCGCCCTCTGTCAAATGCAAGATAAACCTCTCTGCTGATAGCGCCACGCAAGCGTAGCGGCACAAAAACAAAGCGGGTGGTGGTGGGCCACCCACCGCCACCAGAAACGTGCCACGCACCCGCCATCTTGGAGGCTATGCAAAGCGCAACCGCACCCACCGCACCGAAGGCGTCATAGTTTTCTATACACTAGAGGGAACCCTTTTGCTAGTGTCTATGGGAGCTGCAATGCACGGCGCTTCAGCAAGCATGGGAATGAGGGGTAGTACACCGATTTGTCTCGTCTTCGTACTTCTGGCTCTGTGTGTGTTCGTGTGGCTTGGAGCTGTTTTCTCACGAAACAAAAATCAGCAAATGTTCAGCAGTTGCACTTCACCACCTTATTCTTTTAGGCTTGCCTTTTCAAATGGGGTCATGAAGTTCAAAGGGTTCGTTCTTTCCTACGAAACAAAACCAATAGACAGCAATAACTGAAGCCACAAGTGCGATTTGCCGCTTGCAAGTACGAAGGCTAGGCAAATCTGTGTATTGCCCATCATTCCCATGGTCGCTGAACAATCGCAGCGCCGAAGTTTCCTTAACTTTAGGGAAAATCTATGGACGGCGCGTCGGGCGCCTATTAAGTCTATCGTAATGTTTCTGCACCGTCATCTGACGCTGCGTTTTTGTTGTCAGGTTTGTCATTGTGAACTTAGTTGACACATCTGCTGTGCAGGGCCCGTTTGGCTGGTATGCCAGCTACTCGGCTTGTTACAGAGAGCATGTGCATGAGAACTGAGCGGCAGGACGACACATCGTCGTCGATCCGTGCGCTTTCGTTGCAAGAGGGGAAAAAAGAGCTTCGGGCTACAAAAAAGAGTTGTCCCGCATTTCACAAGCCAAAACAAGCAAAGCCAACATGTGAAATTTTCGCTGTTATAACTCCCGTGACTTCTTTCTCCCGCCTAATAAACCCTACCCCTATGGTGTCAACTTCTATCAGTCAAGCTGGAGCGTGGCCAGCACATGATGAGAAAGGAAGAGCGTCTCCATGCGGAGAAAAGCACATTGGCATTTGAGAGAGAACCAACACTCTGCGGCAGCTTTTTTTGCTCTCTTCTTGTGTGGAATTGAAAGGACAGGGGTCTGTTTGTGGAAGGGACGGAAAAGGGAGAAGCGTGGCACAGGTGCGTCGCAGATCGGCATTTGAGAGAGAGCAAACATTCCGTCGCAGTCTTTTATTTCCTTTTCTTCTTTTCCTCCTTCGCGCGCAGCGTTGAGGTGTCGAAGGTGCCGCTGTGGGATAGGGCGTGGGGCTGAGAGCATTTTTATAGCCTGGTATGTTTGAATTAACTGTTGCAGGGGCTAGCACGTTCGAATTGCAGGGCGTTTTCTTCCATTGGAATACACATAGCCTTGACGGGACCACAGGGTGAGTTCGCATTAACCGGACGTTTAAATCAAGCGTGTTCAAATTAACGAGATTCGACTGTATTTTATTACGAATAATTTCAGAATAACATGTTCAATTTTATTCCCCCATTATGTCTTCACAACACTTCGAAATAATGAACAGTGATCTTGAAAAGTTGCTTGTGGCTGTGGAAATAAGGCCCAGCTCTGTACCTGCCACTATCGTTATCAGAGCACCCACATATTTTTTTTATGAGCCCGCCCTACTCGAATGTGTGATAACCCTATAGTCATCTTTATCGCCTGGTATTTGCTTTTCGTGTCGGGCGTCAGGCTTCACCCGTTGCTTTTGTTTTCATTGGGCAGCTTTACCTGCGCACTTGTTATGCTACTGTTTTCTAGCCTTTTGGTTGGCGACTGAACGTTCAAGATGAGAAGCAGCAGGGAAAGAATGCTACGACAATGAAAAATGCGATGCGAGTAGACTGAAGTCACCGATGGTTACCCATGCATGCTTCACTAACGCACAAGCACTACACGCAGTGCGGGGATCAGCTGATGGCCAATAGGATCCATACTATAGGGAAAGAATGCTACGACAATGAAAAATGCGATGCGAGTAGACTGAAGTCACCGATGGTTACCCATGCATGCTTCACTAACGCACAAGCACTACACGCAGTGCGGGGATCAGCTGATGGCCAATAGGGTCCATACTATTAGTAGTGTATGTATACTCTACTAAAAGTATAAGGAAACGGCGACAAAAGTAAAGGCAACGTTCAAGCAGCACACGCGAACCAACGGGAAGAATAGGTATTTAATGTCAATGCTTCGCAGTACATAAGAAGGATGGACTTGCCAAAGAGCATCTTTCAGAACTCGAGCTGGCCACATCAGTATAGATAGCGCTCTTCCTCCAATAAATGTGCAGTGGTTCCATAATATTTTGTTTTTTTGCGCTTATTAGAGCATAACGTGGTCACAAATGTATTCCCGGCACAGGTAGGCAACTCGCATGGTTGCATATACGTTTTTTCACCAATGTTTAATTAATCCTTTCAGTGCGACTTTTCAAAATAGCCAATGATCGTTTGCGGTCCCTTGAGATTTCACTGTACTATTAGTTTGCATGAACCCCTTCTACAAAGGTGGTCTCACTGCAGTCGCAGCCACCATATCCTGAATACAAGATCTGTAATGTTGTGAAGCCCCACTTTAACGTTTAAATGAAGATATTATTTTGTCATTGATTACTAATTTTTCAAGTTTAAAAGCTTGTATTCCAGCTTATATGCTCTGAGTATAGTCAGTTTTAACTGTAACATACCTAATGGCCATCACATGCACTCTACTGAAAATCTAATCCTGCTGCTGCTGAAAGTTGCTTCCACTTCCCTTTGAACCAAAAAAACTGATATTTGCACATGCTTTGTTTCAGTTGCGAAAAAATATTGTGCAGGACAGTCGGAGCTTGGCAAATGTGCTTACTTTTCATTATAATATGTGATGTATACTCTGCACTATTCTAATTGGATCTGAGAGTATTTGACTAAATCTCTATTCGTTTTGAATTCGCTTCGAGCTTAATGTTAACTATTTGCACATGCCTAACAAATTCACATATGGCTAACAAGTGACCACAAGGGTAACGCTGCCTTCAGCAGTAGTGTTGCTGTCATCATTGGTGCAGAATATTGCAAAATGTTCAAGTTAGATAACTGCAAGTTGACTGCGTTATACGTGAGCAAGCACGGCTGACTCATTTGAGCAGCTGTAGTTTTGATTGCAGCAATGTCGAATGTACAATACCAAGCACAGTGAGTTGTTTCTGCGCTTCGAGGTAAGCTTCAGTAGGAGCGACTGCTCCGTTGCCTTCAGTGGTTCTTTCTGTGCATTAATGTTAAGTCTGCACTGTAAGTTTTAAGAAAACCATAAATTTTTGTGTGGTTTGTAGTTGGTGGTAGGGGTTATATGTAGGGGTTGGTTGTAGTCGAGAAAATGCAGTATCAAGACAGCTATTCTAGCATTATGGATCACTCGCGCAAATACGGGTGGGAAAGCCAACATATTGAGTTTCATGCTGCCTGGTTTGCGACATATGTATCAAGTGTTTCAGCGATTCTTTGCTTGGTATAACCATGAATTTTCCTACTGTTAACGTTAAGGCAATGAGTTTGAAGAAAGTAGGTTGATGTACAGGATGATTAGATTGAGCCAAGTTCGATAGGTTCGGGATTTGCTGCAGTGTGGGTAAGATCACATAACGATGTTGTTTCTATAGTTTGGGGGCAGGTCCAGCGTGGACGCGAGGTCTGATGGTAAGGGGTCTCTCTGCACTGTGCAGAAGGAGCCCGAGGTGAAACCCGAGCCTCTGGACGAGGACGAGGAGGAGCTGCCGGCGGCCGAGGAGGCCCCCGCAACTTCCCCTGTAGGCGAAGGAGGAGGCGGGGGTGGCGAAGAGACCCGTGTGTCCCCATCAGGTCCTGAGGTGAAGCCCATGCGGGCCAAGCCCTTGAAAGCACCCGAAGACGCCGCCTCGGTGGCACCCGTTGGATCGCTCAAGTTTTTTCTGGGTAAGCAAGCGTGCACTGGTTGGCTAGTTGTGCCGTGCACCATAGAATTTTCTACAGTAGTTACCGAGAAACGCGCACTGTTTCTCAGCATTTTCTTCTAGCTTCCTTCATCTTCTTGATGGAAAATAAAAGATTCATTCTTATTACTATTCTCAATACATCGAAATCTTGAATAACATATCTCACCAGGAACAGGTGTGAGCACATTAAGTGTACTGTAAAAGCCTGCATATAACCAGTGTTTTTTTTTTCTTCTAGATATTATGGTACAAAATTTCAGCCTCGTACTATATGTGAATCCCGATAATTTTTGGCCGAAATTCAGTTTTGGTTTCGGCATAGCGCAGTGCTATCATCATTACCATGTGCTTGTGCACTTCTGGGCTTGGTGCTAGGTAGTGTTAGCGGCGATAGCAGGCATTGGTCTGACAGACTCGCGCGTGCAGCAGTGGTCAGTGGCCTTTGCTTCAACTTGATGCCCGTAGCGACGGCCACCATTTTGCTCTGTGATTTTGCTCCATGTCAGCACTGAAGGCTGTTTAATTGATCAGAAGTTTCTTTTAGGTAAAGTACACTAATTTAATGAACCAAAACCTTTATTCAAATTGCACAAATCTCAACCTTACTCATATGCTTGAGTAGGAGAAAAAAGAGTGAAGGGCGGTTTGTTTGGCAAGCTTGAGTTTCTTCACTAGGTACGCGCCCATGCCTGATAAACTATCTAGAAATTCTAGACAAGCCTCATGCTCAAAGTAGCGCTGCAAAAGTTCAATAGCCTCTTTAGCTGATCTGTTTGGTGGCACCACTGCACTGGCAATATATTGTCATCACATTCATCGCTGGAAAATTTATCCTCATCTTGCAGTTCGGCAATCATTTCCTCGACAGTCTCCTTATGACAGGTAGGAACATTTTCATCAATTGATTCGTAGCCCTGCAGCGTGATAGGGGCACGACCTGACTGAATACTGCCTGAATGTCTGCATCAGCAGGGCTTTCTTCTTCATTAGGTACTGCTTCTTTCACTTGAAAGCCAGCATGGTGAAAGTATCTGTATAATCAAGGTGACGAACACCTTTGAAACAACGTAGGTGCCTTGATTTTTCTGTTACCAACAGCTTCAATTTCTCATCTCCTGCTATGTTTGCACCTACCAGCACAGTCATGCGATCTTTACTGCGTTTTTGTTGTTGCTCCGCTACAGGATTCGCGTTGGAAGGCGAAAGTCTCATGGAAGCGCCTCATAAAAAAGACCCATCTCGACGACGTTGAAGACGTCTCGTGGCTCAAAGCTCATCACAATTTCCTTAGGCCGCCCCTGTTGCCAGTCGGTGCAAATGTCCCTGTTGACTGCAGCACTCTCACCTGAGATTGCTTTGAAGACTAGGCCATGGCGTTTTTGAAATGGCTTAGCCATTTGTCGCTTAGGGGAAAGTTCTGAACACCTATTTTCATGGCGATTTCTCAAGCTTTCTGCTCGAGAATTGGTCCGCTTATTGGCAAGTTGAAACTCCGTGCACGCTTGAACCACGGAAAAAGAACTTTTTCTAGTTCTTCATAAGGCGTCATCCACATCCATTTAGTTGTAAAGGTCCTGTTCTTTACAGCTCCTTTAATCTTTTCTCTGTCTTTCTAGATACGCGACAGAGTCGATTTCGGGATGTTGTATTTTTTCGCCTTCTCAGTCTTGGGCAGGTCGCTTCGATCAAGCTCTTGAAGAATTTGGAGCTTCTTTTCAAGCGAGAGTGCATGGTGTGGCCGTTTTCTCACCATCAGGACACCCTGATCCACTGCACCTAGCCACACAAATAGACCCAGCACACAACTGACTCGCCGACTCAACTCTCGCAGCCAGCACAAGTGAGAATGGCTACTGGATTGGCTTGTCTCAAAGTGTTGCCATGGTTGTGAGACTACCTTTGGCATGAGTGAGTTGCTGTGTTTAGCGTTTGTGCCGTTTAACTGTAGCTGACCAAGAAGCAGTGTTTCGATTAACTGATGAATTTTACTGCGCTAGACATAGAAATCTAGCCATATGAGCTCGTTTAGTTATAATAATAAGGCATTTTCATTTAAGCAAGTTTAGTTTGTTGGCAGTCTACTGTATTCTCGGTTAGCGGAAGCATGAAGACTTGCTCTTTGCTTGCAGCGGCCAGTGAAAAAGTTTCCGCAGGCCAAAAAAAATGTAGCGTTTTCTGACGTGAAACGAGAACTCCCAGACTTTGTGCGGGAGCAGAGAGCTGCAGATCTCGCTGGTAACATCGAGCTGCTACAAGCGAAGAAAAGGGAGATCGCCCGAGACAAACGCATTCAGCCGGAGGATTTCGAAGCGAGGAAGCATTGGGTGTCTCTCTTTATGCACTGCGCTGGGTTCTCGTTACATCAGCATACGTCGATCTCGCGTAAGCTACCGAAGAACTGTGAAGAGGATCTTGTGAAGTTTCAAAAGTATGTAATTGCGTTGTGAAAGGCTGCCCCCTTTCAGTTAGGCCAGTTGGCAACGGGGATAAAACGCCGGTCTGCCTGGATATGCCCTCGACACTAACAGTGCATTAGAAAGGCTCCTGGCAAGTTATCCTGCGATCGACTGGAAACGAAAAAGCGCGGGTGACTTTAATGTTGTCCTGCAACTCAGATGGTTGCAAGCTACCACTCTACGTGGTGTTCAAATGAGAGGCGTTGCCAAAGGGGAAGTTTCCAAAAAATGTCGTCTGCTGCCAGGACAAAGGGTGGATGGACGAATTGCTAGTGCTTGAATGGATAACGTCCGTGTGGTGTCGATGGCTCGAAGTACTGCTGGGACTCCCTTGAATTTTTTGTGCTCGATGGGTTTCGGTGTCACCTGACAAACTCTGTGGAGAGACTGCTGCGCAACTCCCGCCCTGAGCTCGTCGTCATCGCAAGAGGGGTGACATCACAGCTGCTTATGTGTGCCTTCACAAAGCTTATGGATGTGCCTTAATATGCCTTAATAAGCTTATGGACAGGCCTTATGTGTGAAAAACGGGCCTTATATGTGAAAAACTTTTTCTTCAGATATTTGTGACAGCTCAATGAAACTTTCACCAGTTATAGGGTTGGAGCTCCTCTTTTCAAATCTGCTTTTATTTTTGTCATGGCTCATTCAGGTAATTTTTAGCAGACCATGCTTTCGTAAAAACAATGCATTCTTGTGCAAGCTTAGGCAACAATAGTGAGCACAAGAAAGCTCTAAAAAATAGCCAGTGTTGCTCCTAAGGAATTGCAGAATTCAATAAAGCAAAGAAATATTGTGTAACATTTGTGTGCTGGCCTAGAAAAATATTCTAGGGCTGAACTTGAGTTTTACCATACTCAAGGAACAAGCTTCTGCAATTATCCAGCTGAATATGCTTTGGAGACCTCCGAAAGTTGTTTATTTGAATTTAGGACATGTTAAACTTTAAGTATGCCAAGTTTCATTGTAATCCGACTACGTAAAGCGTACAAATTATAGTGCACAAGCTCTAAAAATGCCGAAAACTGAGGAACTGGGAAAAAGCAGTTTGAAAGTTCCGAAACATGTTTAATACTATACTCTTTAACCAATCTGAATGAAATTCACAGAGAATGTCAGCAAAGCTACCTTGAAAAAGTTGACAGCTTCAGAATAATCCAGCACTATATATTGGACCCTTACAGTCTCTGCAAGCTGTCTCCTCGCGACGGGCATTTTTTTTTTTTTCCATACTGCGGCGATGGGCCGTTGCTCTCGCGCTCATTCGAGGTTTCGGCGGCGATATGCACCTTTTTTTTTTGCGAATGGCAGTTCTTGTGAGGCACCGGTTTTTCAACACCAATGATTGCACAAAACCCGCACAAGCTGCTCGTGTCCGACGCCGATGGCACGCGGTGCGACTACCGACTTCACGCTTACAGCGAAGCTGTCCTGTGCACTGCCGCTGGCGAATGTCTCCTCGCTTCCACTGCATGAGGGATACACGCGGCTTGACGCATACGTGGACAAAACAACAGTTGCAGCACATGCGTTATTTCGGTGCTAAAAAGTTCCGAAAGCGATGCCAGTCCTTATTGTCTACTTGCCATTACTCAAATAGACAGCTCGCACCGCCCGCAGTTGCAGCATACTACGCCACTGACGAGGTTTTGCATTGCATCGGTCTCACAAATAAATGTGGCTCCGCGTTCGTCCTGACACTTGCTTTAGTCGTCGAACATCTTTATCTTTCACTCTGAAGCGCTGAGGAAGTCATCGACGGTAGGAATAAAGCTCGAACAATCCAAATCGGGTGTGTCGCTGCTGCCGCGGCTAGGCCTAGCAGCAGACGGACCTCTCGCCGGCGCTCACTGCTTGCGTTCGAGACCCCTTCCCTCGTACTGGTGCCGCGTAATCAACTTCCATGAACGAAAGTAGCGTTTCTCGCCGGTATCTATGGCGCGGAAATAACTCTGGCGGTCGTGTTCATCAATGTCTCGGCGAAAGCAGAAGGACGAAGAAATTGCTCGCATCCAACTGCGCGGTGGAATGCTCGCAACCAATGGCAGGGCTCCGATCATACCACGTGACTTCGAAGGCCCAGTCGCCATGCTAGAATGCTGTGGGAAAACGATTTTTTTGTTGTATCTTTAGCGTGGATGCCGCTTTGCCGAAGTGGGCTCTGGGAGAAGAGGGTTAGGCCTACATGCCCGCGAAAATTCAAGAGCCGGCGATGCCGTAGAGCGAAGTGCCGCGTGCGTGAAAATCTGGTAACTTCGCACTTTCACGAGCCACCGCGAGTGCTTTAATTTTATTTTTCGATAACTTCTAGTGGATTCTCAGCTTTGATTTTTTAATATATTAAGGAGAAGGCTTGGATAAGGAGAAGGCTTGGAGGAATACAAAACGCAGGAAAACACAAAATCGACTTTTCCCAAAAAAATCTCGGTCTTTTGACCCGCCTCTCCCCTTGATAAAGCTTATGTGTGCCTTAATAAAGCTCAACACACCACAGAAAAACGAAAAAAAGATTGATCGCCTATGCACAATAAGGTATACCACATATCATGTCCTATTCAACTATTTCTTCTATGAGCTTAGTGCTATGTAGCCATGTCGATGGGAGTGCGTTCCACTCGTTTATCGTGCTTGGAAAAAATCAAAATTTGAAAGCATTAGTTTTGGTGCTAAATGGGGTTAGGCATTCAGCATGACGGTGCCTAGTTTGTCAGGTTGAAAGGGGTGATACGTAATCTTCTGGTTATACTAACGCTAGTTTTCTACGTTTCAGCTGAAAAAAGAAACTTAATCTCTGTATCTTCCGCCGAAGTCGTCAAAAGTGCGGAGGAGAGACATTGGTTGTCAAGCAGAGCCCACGGGCGTGGTTTCTCTCTTTCATTGCTTCAGCAGAAGCGCACAGTTGCGTTTCGCCACATCCCTGCACCTGCTTGCCTACCCGCTTTGTTGTCTGCTCCCCGCTCTAGAGAGGGAATTGTTGAATGAATTCCATCCACCTCGACAGATATCGCTATACATTGTGGATAGCACAAGAGAAGGTGAAACTGTGAAAAAATAAGAGTGGAGAAAGAGAGCAAAAAAATGACTTATTCCACTGTGTCCATGTTGTGCAGTTTGCCCTAAGCAAATATGTTGCACGGCGGTGGAGTTGGCGTTTGTCTCATCTTGCTCCATGGCTGAAGCTATACTTCGGACCAGGCACCATAAAACACTGAGCACCAAGTACTGCTGTACAAAGCCACAAGTGGCTGCCAGCTGTGATAGACAGAAAGGAGGAAAAAGATTAGCAGTGGCAGTGTTGCCTGCCTTAAGATTAGCAGTGACAGTGTTGCCTACACCCTCTTTCTTTTTTACATCCTCATGTGGATCTCGTGCCTTTCATTTTTTCACAGGGGGTCGGCTGGTGCTGAAGTTGAGCGCCCAGGAAGGGGGCTCCTGGGTTGAGGCCCAGGACACCCCGCGGTTGGGGCGTCCACGCCAGCCCCCCTCGGAAGATGCGAGCGACGACGACGACGGTGCACCAGGGACGTCCTCTGGTGCAGGAGGCGGGGCTACACCACCACTCAGGTTGGTAGCGATTTGTGTTCTGTTCGTTGGTTATACTCTCCTGCCTATCCCGGCTGTGGCGGCTGCATTTCCGATGGAAACGGAAATGCTGTAGGCCCGTGTGCTCAGATTTGTGTGCACGTTAAAGAACCCCAGGTGGTCGAAATTTCCGGAGCCCTCCACTACTGCCTCTCTCATAATCATATGGTGGTTTTGGGACGCTAAATCTCACATATCAATCAATTATACTGTCCTGCCACTGTGTGTTTGTGGGGGAGGGGGGGGGGGCAGACTGTGTTTGATCATTTTAGGTGCAAGTTCATGCGTGAAGGTAAGCAAAAAAGTAACTAAATAAGGTTATGAATTTGGCTGCATACTTTTGCATCATGAGAGTGAATGAATGAAAAAGCATGCATAGGTGCCTGTTTTACTTCTCGTGGATTCATAGAGCAGGGGTGAAAATGCTGCGGCAATTGCGCCAATCTGACCTGCTGCGTATAAGTGGAAATTTGCACTTACAATGCCAAATTCACCCGAGTCTTAACCATCGACTGAGCGGCACATGGTGGATACACGAAACATGCCACCACATCTATATCCTGTGTAGTTCGGTCTCGTATTTTAGTTCAGGCGTGGTGCTCACACCGTGCGTGAACTTGACACCATGCCTGAACCTTGCGCCATGTGAAAAAAAATCTTGTCTTAGTCGACGACCGATAATGCAGACTACACGGGGAACATACATAAATGCGAATTATCGAATGTCTGATGTGCGACAAAATGAATGCGTAAAAAAATACTTTTATTGACACTTCAGCGACCCGGTGACCGGAAAAAGCTCTCAATGTGTTGCTGCACGCACTTCCGCCTACTTGCAACCAAGTCCGTCTTTATTTCCGCCAGTGTGGTATGCTCGCTGTAGGACCACAGGTAGGACGACGAAAGAATGGCAAGAGCGCAAGACATGTCTGCATGCAACGGCTTGAAGCACATGGTGCGTTGTCATTACCAGAGTCAGAAATGCTATGGGGCAGTTGCAGAACCTGCTCAATTATGTCGTCATTATCTAATTTACACATAACAACTTAGCACTGTTCGCGTTTGGGACGTCCTCAAACGTAACTGCATCAGGAATCTGCACACCGCAGCCTCACAGGTCGTCAATGACGTCCGCACTTGAGCTTATTGTTCTGGGTGGAGGGACCGGCACTTCAGTTGCAGTGTCGGGTTCTTGAACATTTGAAACATTGAACTCCTGGGCAACTTCGACTTGGGGGCGACCACTGAGCACTTTCAGAATCATGGCAGCTTTCCTTGCCATGGTTAGCATTGTGTACGTCTGCCACGTTTCGGCGGCGGCGGCGCTGACTGTGAGAGCACCGTTGTGCCATTTAACGCAGATCTTTTGGGACAGCAGAGCGCAAAATAAAGCAGTTCTCAACACAAAACCCAACATGCGCAGAATTCAGCAGAACGCAGCACCCCAGACACATAACGACAGAGTGGCGGCGATTGCAGCACAGCTTCATAACTGTGTTGGGATACCAGAACCAAAATATAGGATGTTCGCGATGTGGATACGACCCCCCACAGTTGAGCAGGGCCTCCAAGATTGACATTTCCTATTATAAAGCTGCGAGGCGATCGAAGTGAAGCCTCACAGATCACCAATTCACTTTCGTATGGTATGGGCACCGGAGGAGATAATGCGGTGTGCGCGCCAGTTCCGGACATAGTCAGGATTATCGAATGCTAGTCTGGCAGCTGTCGGATATATCGGTCGTTCTTGCACATTAGTTTTAATGGTCCATCGGCGGTGCCATGCGGCTGTCCGAATTACCAAGCATGTCCAAATTATCGGTGTCCAATGTATCGGTCGGTGACTGTATTTTCACGTTTTCGGTTCGTGGAAGCTTCGTTGACATACAGCTGATCTCTTGCTTTTGTCGCAGTCGCAGGCTTGCGCATGCATAAGGGCACGATGCTGCTGTTTTCGCCGTACAAAATTACTTTCACTTGACGTAAGCGTTCATAATAACAGTGGGACATCAGTAGTTGCACTTCACAAGCCAACAGATTACAACGCACACAGCTGACTCGCGCACCGAGGCATTCTATGCAAACTCGTAGTCTGCCACCATTATGTGATAGCGATGACGCCGTGTCTGACTCTTCTGGCGGGAGGTTGTTGGCAATGTGGTTTTGGTCTCAATATTTAGACTCTCTTTATCGGTGGAAAGATGTGCGTCGGATTTGATTGTTTTTAAGCTGAAAAGAAAGATTCGCTCTCACCTCCTCCAACTACTTAATGCTGCCATTAGCTACAACTGGCAAGAATAATAAATGGGAGACACAGGTCTGAACTTTTTTTTTTAATTTTAAGTATTTCCAGCTGAAATTTTAATACAATATGTATTTTTCACAGCTGAAAACAAATATGCCATTAGTTATTTGCTATCACTTTTAGATTTTTAAATATTGACTGCTACATAAACTTGCATTCTGCTCAGCCTTTTGACATCTTCCTCATAAAATATTGTTACAAATTTGATATGACAGCATTTCATGAAGGCCAGGGAGTGCAACAAAACCATAATTTTATTTTTAGCTTCATTGGTACCAGAGTTATGGCCTTCCTTAACAAGTATACTCATTAAAAATCTGAAACTGTTGCTTAAGTTTGTTGCTAATTAAATCACTATTGTAAATAAAAATATTACATTTTTTTTGTTTTCTTGCACTAATCAATGTAGAAGCTTTCAAATGCTGCAAGAATTATCAAAATCCACATGCTACATCAAAAGATACTGTGGGCAATGGCTTAGGGTGTGATGAAAAATTGTTTTGAGAAAACACGGAAAGAAGTTTAGGAAAATGCTGAGCACTTATATTTAACAAGAAAAGGTGTGAATCGGTGTATCAACCATGTTAGAAGCCACCAGGAATGTAGTCATCATCATTCTCCTTGGTGCGCTTTCTTTTCATGGCATGCTTGAAGTTTTCAGCATGCTCATGCTTCTTCTTCGATGCCACTAGTCGGCGACTGTCCTTTTCTGAGCATCTTTTAGCGGCCACAACACTCTGCTGCACGTGCAGCTCCTTCAATATGGCGGCATCTGCTGTCCCTTTGCCAGCGTTGAACCTTGCGACAGCTTCGGCCACAGCAGCTTCAAAGGTGAAAAGCAACGCGTGTTTGTTTTTGGACACGAGCGACCAGATGACGGAGTGCAGGCTCTCGTTTGGGTTTTGTGTTTTGCCTCGCTGACAACGCTCCAGCAATTTCTTGTCAGAGAGGCGCGTGTAAATAGGCCGCAAGGCATCAACCACATACTCCGGCAGGTTGTAGCGATGATTCGGAGGAGTCTCCTGCTTGGCAACAGCCTTGTTGTACTTGCATCATGACTCTTCACCAGTTGGGCAGTGAGAGTGCTGAGGGCTTGCATCAGTAGATGCTATGTGATAAAAGGTTGCCCAGACAGCATTATTCATGGCCTCAATGCTTGCTTGGTTGCTTTGTAAAGCCCATCCATAATATGACGTGAGCTTTGTGACCAGCTCGCCTGTCAGTTTGCCCTTGCCGCCAAGGCTTGGCTTTCCTTCGGCTCTTTGTTTTTGCAGGAGGTTTCGAAGTGCTGTGCCCATGCGCTTATGCACATGGTTAACACAGTCCTCTTTTTCTGTTAGCACGAAGCCATATACCTGTGCCTCCTGCATACTGTTGAAGGCCCGGCTGTCTCCATCACACAACATGGTTGTGTAGCGGAGCCCATGTCTCTCCAATGAGCGGCCAAATAAAATTTGTGCTGCTTCCACCTTCATTTGTCCTGGCTTACTGGAGGTATTCTTTTGGCAAGTGTGACCAGCTAGCCACTCGGCATACCTTGGGTTGTCCTCCTTCGGCCCTAGCTGGCAGCCCAAACAAAAGTTCGATAGGACGACGAAGTCGAGCACATAACCCGTGAATAGTTCAATCACGGTCCCTACACAAATATGGGATGAGTGGTCCCTGGTCAGCCAAGTCCCATCAAAGGAAACGGCGATATTTCCAGGATTTGCATAGTTGAGTTCGGAATACACCGTTTCCACGGTGCTCGCGCAGTCGTCAATAACGCGCGCGGGGCAGCCTTCTGCGTGGTAGGGTTCATTTTCAATTTCACATAATCCTGGTATGTCTTCGTGAGCAGGCCTCTCCGTGAAATATTTAGGGCGGAAAAAATATCGTTGAGCGCAGTTTGCCCGTTTCCTGTGCTCATTGCCTCGCAAACTGCGAGCACATAAATTTCGAAGAGGCCGTGCACTGCGTCCCCCCCTGCTCTCGGCGAGCTCCATACGGTCCTCAGTTTACCGCACTCGTCACATGTGAGAACAAGTTTCGCGGCTATGCCATATTCGCGGTCTTCCTTGGAGATTCTGCCAGGCCTGCCACACACACCGCACTTCATATACTAAAGAAATTCGTTGACCAACTCTAAGCTAACGACGGTGAACAGCGTACCAGGCATTGCAGCTCCATCCGAGTCTCGAAAAAAAGACCACTTGCGTTTTGTGGCAGACTTCGATGAAAGATCTTGCAGAACATCGCTCGCACGACACTCGATGGCCACTTTTTCAGCGTCTGAAACCAGGGGAGTGTGGACGCGCACAGCTCTCGTGTGATCTTGGGACGCGGCTATCGCGTCCGCGATCCCGGGTGCCGCGGCGGTGATAGCACTTGCGCAGCCTGCTTCTTCCGAGTTTTCGGCGGCAGAAGGTCTCGCTGGGGATAAGGTGCGGGCTCTCGAACGCCGTTTTCGCCTTTTTCCGAGCGCATGAGCACTCCGGAACTTCCGATGACCGCTTGCCATTGCACCGAATGCACAGCTGTTGTTAGGCCTCTGCGCAAAATGGCGGCTTGCACGCCGCAGCAGACGAATCCCTTCGCGTCCAATAGGAAACCGGGAACTGCCCCACGTGACAAAAACGCACCAATGATGTGCGAGTATTCAGTTTTTCTTTATGCGCGATAGTTGCGTTGTTGCTAGACGAAAAACGTTCTTCTGCTAGAAACAGATAATAGAAAAATGCTTATTTAAAATGAGACCAAAATGACCGCGCTACTTGGTGCGGTTCTCGCGCGCTGCAGCGTTGAATACGACCGTTTTTGAGGTGGTTTCAGAAGCGAAAATGGTCATCAAACTGACTTTGCGACCCAATAACTCGACAAATATGCATTACAGGGCTATAATATTTTAGGAACAGCTTCCTTAGACCTTCATGATTATGAAAAAAAAAAATACTTCAAAAAATTGGTTTTTCGAAAAATTTTCGGCCTTCCATGCCCGTGTCTCCCCTTGAATCTACCTTCCTTGCAGAGGTACAAGGTCATGCCGTGGGCTTATTCAGGCGGCCTGTACCTATTTTTTTGGGCATAGTCTCACGAAAGTCATATAATTCGGGTTTCACTACAACCAACAGACCTAGCTCTCCGTACTTCAGCAGCAGAGCACGTGCTCTGCGATGGAGACCATCTAACCATAGGAACTTCAAGAAAAAAGGGCAGTCTCGCCTCAAGGGCAAAACAGTTAATGCGGTTGGCTTGGTGTGCGAGCGATGGCGGTGCTGCGAACGGCACTTGTATGACGGTAATTTGATGATTCACGCTCTTTAATTTTGATACCTGGCGCCGTATAGAAACTACCGTGCGCGATAAAGCTCGACAAAGAAGCAGTTCAGTTGAATATCAGGAATGTGGTGGCTACTGACGCTGTTTGAACAACCGCGAGTCTCCGCTTGTAACTCATTTTGAAAGCAGGGTGCTTTGTTTCATAGAATTGCGGACAGCCGCTTGTCTCCGCGACGAGTGCTCTGCAATGTTAAACGTTAAAAGGCGCGTATTCGTTATGTCAACTACATTACAGTTGAATCTGTATGAATTTGAAGGGAGCACACAAAACATTTGTATCATCCCGAATTCATATGAACCAAAAACAAGTTAAAGCTGATCATGAAGATGAACAAAAACTTTATTGGAGTCAACTACTTGTTGAAAAAGTTCATGATGTTTTTTTTTTTTTTTAAACTTCCTTGCTTTCACCGCCTTTCAATAGAGTGCCACGGTTTCCTCACTCATACTGATGGCGCTATAAGGCGCATTCAAACTTTGATCGAAGGGAGCGAAAGCGGCAAAACTGGTTGAAAATTCACTCGATTCGCCGCTTAAGTAGCTGTCAATGTGTGATGTCGTGTATTACAGTCGAACCTCTCTATAAGAGACACTGATATAAGATACAAATGGGTATAAGAGACACCAGTGTGCCTTCAGTAAAATATGGGTTGATAAGAAAATCCCGACAAAGTACCCTGCTTATAAGAGACATCTGGCATAAAAGACAAGAATTGCTGCTTGGAGCATGCCTCTCATAGAGGAGTTAAACTGTATTCACATTTTTAACATTTCAATGTTTTAACGTTAACATTTTTGTATTGATCTGAGGTCTAGTCACTGTTGTTTTCTTTTTTTTTTTCATTACTCTGCTTTTAGCGGTGATGTTGCTGTGGCTTTAAAATTACCCTTTTACTGCTCCCAAGCTGCTCCGAAACTACATTGAGCTTGCTCCCTGCGCTGCGCCAAAAGACTGAAGCCACCTTCCACCCCTGATGGAAATGTGGTTGTTTGTTCATAAAGACGAGAAAAGAAAAACCTTCTTTCTAAACTTTATGTTTGCGTCTCTTTTCATTGGGTTAATTAGGCATCTTTAGTGGAACCCTGAACATGCAGAAATGTGCTTGTGATTCCGAAATCATTTTCAATTGTCATGATTTGAGGCAATTCTTTTGTGGATTATTCTTTTGTGGACTTCTAAAAATTTGGGGAAGGGGAGCTTGTACTACCATGTTTGCAAGATTGTCGGTCAACCCATTTTGTTTTCATTTTGAAATCGGAGGTTGGGGGGAGGGGGGGGGGTTGACCTAGAACCAAAAACTAGTTTTGGTTGTAAAGTCTTTTGGGAAATGATTTTCGCAAAGCTAGCTTTTATGCACAGCTTTCAAGCATTGCCGTGAAGCCATATTTGATTTCGTTTTTTTTTTTTTTTTTTTTGTAGACATTGTAAGAATTTGGGGGGGTGGAGAGGATGAAATAGGCTGGTGCTCTTTTTCTTAAATTTTTTGCCTGGCAATTTTAGGGTGTTGGGATACATTTAATTCGACTCGCAGTCATGTAAATAGAGTAGGTTATAAACAAGTTAGACACACAACCATGGGCCACATACACCAAATAAGCACATAAAACTAAACACTTGTATTTTAATCCAAACAGAGGCAGTTCCAGGTGCACGTCATGGCCAGAGACGGCCCCCCTGACACCTTCAGGAAGCCTGGCAACGACGAGGATGGCGACGCCCGAGGACAGCACCTCAGGGGGTTGTAACAACACGAACAACAGCACGGAAGATGAAGATGCAGGCGACGACGACAGCAACCAACAGCGGCCCCCATCAGCCACCAGGGCTGCAGCTTCGCCCAAGTGCCCGCCTCAGGCGCCCCCTCTAGGTGAGACTTTTAATCAGCTAGGAGGCACTGTTCTGAAAGTGGTAGGATGGGGCCTTTAGCATTGTTTGGTGAAGTTTAATGAGTAGTGGTACCATACCATCTGACTTGTTCAATTTTCTTTCTTTATAAAGGGGATAGGGCACAGTTTCCTAAAATTAACTAGAGGGGACTCTGGCGCTGCAATTGTGCAGCAACCCTTGGTATGATGGGGAGCACACGGATTTCCCTACTCTTCAAATTGCACGGCTCAAACACACTTATGGCTTTGCTTGTTGCTGTGTTTTGGTTTCGGTTCAAACAAAAGAACGAACCGTTGTAAGCTTCTTGACCCGATTTGAATTGGTGAGCTTGACGCTCAAGATGAAGCGCAACTGCAGAAAATTTACTGACTCTTGTTTCGTGACAAAGCAACTTCAAGCCACACAAAACCAACTGGAGTGGAAAGTGTGAAAATTTGACAAATTCATGTACTACCCATCATTTCCATGCTCGCTGAAGTGCCGTGCTTTTCAGCTCCCTTATACACTAGTGCCAAAGTTCCCTCTTGTGTGTTTATTAGAAACTCTGTGCTTGGAACATTAGGGTGGTGCCTCTAGCATTTTTTGGTTAAGTTCAGCGAGTAATAGTACCATACCATTAGACAGGGTAGGAGACAGCGCAGTTCTGTTCAGTTTTTTTCTCTTTCATAAACAGAATTTGGGACAGTGCACGTCTAAGTTAGTCATCTATTTTGGTGAATTTATGTGTACAGTGAACTCCTGTTAAGACGAACTCGTTTAAGACAAATTCTCGCTTATGACGAACAACTTGAGAACGTTTGTTTGATTTTTGATAGAGCCAATGCAAAAAAAAAAAAAAAAATCCGCTTAAGACAAACAGCCTTGTACCCACTCTTCGGGTAAGGCGAAGATTTTGGTAGAGGCTGCTCCTGCTGGCGATTCGCTTCACGACTGGGAACGAAGCGACCGAAAAAAAAATAGTTATAATAAAGCAAGAAAAAAAAAATTCGGTCCTAAGCAAACCCGTGCCGCGGCTGGTGGAGGGAGGAAGAGAGCGAGTCACCGCCTACAGCTCCCTTCAACCTGTGGAGTGGGCGGAAAGCAACAACAACAACAACAAAAGTTTGTATGGCGGCCGCGGTAAAAAAACGTAAAAAAAAAAAAACGACCAAGTCTTTCTGTTCGCAAACGGAGCAGCTCTCCTGACCAATTTCATTTCAGAGCGGAAGCACATCAGTTTATCAGCCCTCTCCGTATGAATATTCTTTGCCTCTCCTACCTTGCCATTGCCGAGAAAACCAGTTATCTCTCTGCGCCGAGCCAGCTAACCGTCTCATGTTTTCAGTCTCTTGCACTTTGTATGCCTCGCCTCGCTAGGTCTGTTGAAAATGTCCAGTAAGCCAACTCTTTGCTAAAAGCCAATAGAGCTTTAAAGAAAAAAGCTGACATTTTGGCTGAAGTAGAAGCTGGCAAGCTCTCGAAAGTTGAAATCGTGTGAGAGTTCCGAATTGTCTACGCTATCTGGTGTCGTAAAGGACAGTGCAGGGGTAACCGCCGCACTGAGTGTGGCGAATTTGCGCCGAAGCGGGAGAAGATGCGGACGGCTGCGCATGAGGGCATGGAAGACGTTCTCCTCACTTGAATTCAACATGCTTTTAGCATGAATCAACCTGTGAATGGCATTGTGCTAAAGGTGAAAGCGGAGGAAATTGCCCTGCAAATAGACATTGAGTTTGCCTGCAGTGATGAAAGGCTCAATTGCTTCTGGAAAAGACATGGACTAGTTTCCCGATCTGTTGCTGGTGAGGCCGCTGCTATTGATTAAGCAACCTGCAATGACTGGAGGCTTACGAAGCTCAGAGATATTTCAGGAGTACGAACCCAGCATTGTTTACAGCGTCAACAAGAGGGCCCTATTTTATCAAATGCTGCACCCAGAAGACTCTTGCTTTTGCTGGCGACGATTGCACATGAGGTAGCTCGGTAAGATGAGGATCACCGTACTTGTTGGCGCGAAAATGTGTGGAAGTGAGAAGCTGAAGCTGCTGGTCATTGGCAATTCCAAATCGCTGTGCTGCTTCAATCAAGCTAGAACGCTGCCAGTGGCCTACACAGCCAACTCAAAATCTTGGATGACGCAGTTGATTTTTGGGCAGTGGCTACGAGACATGGATCGACGTTTCGTTAAAGAGAAGACAAGCGTACTCTTCCTGGTGGACAACGGCCCTGGGCACGGGCACGTCGCTGACCTTCAAGCAATTTGTTTGGAGCTTTTGTCCGCTAAACGCTAACACCACGGCGAAGCTCCGACTAATGAATCGGGGGTGTGATAAGCAGCCTGAAAAAACGCCTTTGCCAATCACTTCTGTAGAAAATGCTACTCTGCATGGAATGCGACAAGCACTACACCATTGAACTGCTGACAGCGCTTAACCTCCTCGCAAATGCCTGGAGCCAGGTGACTCGCACGACAATCGTGAATGACCTCGTTCCGTCACGCGGGGTTTGTGTTGCTTGATTGTTCAGCTCAGCATCCTGATTGGGAAAACGATGAGAAAGAGGTGAACTTGTTTGCAACTCTAGGCAGCAAGGGACTCGTTGTGGACATGGTAGATATACCAGCGTCAACGAAGGCGTGTAGAGAAGACTGATTAGGCACATTGATTGAAGAGGTGCTCGAGGAGCCTTTGGAGGTAGCGTCAGATGACGAGGAAGACTCGTGCATGGGGCCTGTGCTTGTGGCCAATTATGCTGCGGATGCCTACCTGAGTTCCTTAAGGGGAGACGTGGGTCCTGAAGAAAATTTTTAATAATTGTCTTAATTGAAATAAACTTAATACACTTTTCAGTTTCTTCTGCAGATTCCAAATCTCTAAGTAGGTTTTTGATGGCTGCATCAGATCAGAAGATACTAAATATTTATAATACACAATGAACATATTTTTTACGGGGCTTTTTGGCAATTTCACCATGTCTAACACAAAAACAAAGTATATATCCAGATTTCCAGAGAGCTGGTCTAGCCGGTGTTGCTAATTTTATCATTTGCAACAAACTTCATATGTAAAATAAATTAATACAAACGTGAGTGAAAAATTTCTGCCTTACAGTGTTTGCAATCATCGTGAATTACAATTCGGTGAACAACACATAGAAAAAAATGAATAGCATCGCTGGCTAGATCAATTCAATACGAACACATTTTTATCAATCTTGTTATTGTGAGTCAATAAAAACATGTCAAAATGCCCCGTAAGGCTACATGTTAAGTCTAAAATCATGCAACAGAGAAAAATGCATTTGAAGTTTTAGTTTTCCATAAATGATGTGGTATTGCAACATAACTGTATAAATGGCATCATTATGTAGCTTTGCCCTTCAGGAACAAGATAATGTCGTATATGTTACAGCAATGTCACAGGAACCATGAAAAATTTGCTGTATTAGCATGCATAGTCCTTGTAAATAGTGCGAAAAAGCTGCTACCAAACACTCCACCGTTGCATTTCAGCTTGTACGTGTACACTGTGCAAAAAATGACATGCCTATGGGTTCTGTACTGTCGCCATTTGCACCTAGGTCAGGGTCACAAGAATTAAAAAGGGAAAAATTACCGTAATTACTCGAATCTAACACGCACCTATTTTACGGTTAAGCGGGTTCATAAATCGCATGCGCGTTAAAATCGAGTACGAATACGGTCATTCTATTGCCATCGACACTTCAAAAATGGCCGCCCCTTATGTGCGTCGGCATGGCCCACGCCTTCTCTAGGAAGATTCCTGCCGCATGAGAAAAAAAACCAGTTGCCACACCCTTTCCTTCCTTCATTTTGAAAATGTTCTTGGTCGCTAGCGTCACCTGTGGCGGACAGTGCAACAACGCAACACTTTGCATAGCCTCCAAAACAGTGGTGCACAGTTGCAGGTCTCGAACAACTCTCGACTTGCGCGCCCCTATGGGCCGCAGATGAAAAAACGCTTAGCTGGTATCGCCCGTCGCAGTGATGATAGTGGCGGTCTGGAGCGCCACCGCGCGGAGCTTGTTTAAAACTGAAGGCAGGCCAACTCTGCTGGGAGCGCGAGCCATTCCTCGGGCATCTTTCTAGAGGAGGCGTTGGCATGGCGCGTCGGCCATTTCTGCCAATGTGTTTACCATGTGCGGCACTTCGTACGTGTGCTGAGGAGTTCATCATATCGTAGTGCATTTACATCGACGGCATGGAAGGGCCGACTCCGAAGACTCGACGAGTGCACCACGATGCTGCTTTTAAAAGAAAAGTAATCGCGTGTGCAGAAACAGACAGAAATCGGGCCGCATCGCGGTCGTTCGGAGTTCCTGATACGTGCGTGCGGGACTGGCGGAAACAGAAGCAGAAGATTGTCGACTGCAAAGCTTCACGTAAAGGCTTCAGTAGACCGCAGCAGGGTCGGTTTCCGAAAATTGAAGAGCTGCTCGCAGAGTATGTGCTTGAACAGCGAGCGGCACAGCCGCCTGTGACGACAGAACTGCTCCAAGTGCGGGCTATGCAGTTAGCTTTGGAAAAAGGGCTAACACGGAGCCAGTTCAAAGCGAGCAGGTGCTGGCTAAGTAACTTTATGAAAAGGAAAGAATTTTCCCTCTGAAGGCGAACGGGCATATGCCAAAAGTTGCCGGAGGAGTACGAAGAAAAAAATTCCTCAGTTTTCAGAAATTCGTCCTCAACTTGCAGCACAACAATGGCTACCTGCTTGGGCAAATCGGGAATGCCGATCAGACGCCTCTGTACTTCGACATGCCTGGCACCAACCGTCGAGAAGAAGGGGGCAAAACAAGTTCGCGTGCTGACATCAGGCCACGAAAAAACTAGGGTGACGGCAATGCTCTGTTGCCCGTCAGATGGGCACAAGCTTCCCCCGTACCTGATATTTAAGCGGAAAACGCTCCTGAAAGGAGTCGTTTTCCCGAGTGGTGTGATCGTGCGAGCCAACGAGAAAGGTTGGATGACGACGGAGCTGGTTG